ATATTGAGAATAATAGTTAAACACGATCACTATTTTCAATAATGGTTAACAAATCAATCCAAAATTTGATGAATATATGATGGACAAGAAATGAGATTCAGGACTCAATGACTAAAAAAAATAAGACACCGAAGATACATTAAGGTTTTATTTTCTACACATTTAGTATTATTTTAAAGATTTTGATCAACAAATTCTAAATACATCTTAAAAAATTGTTAAACATCGTTATAATTTATTAGAGATTTTATTAAGTATTAATTTTAATCTCTTTGATTTTTTTTAAAATCTAGTTAAAATTATTTCATCAAATTTTTTTTAACAATATCAATTATGTTAAAAACAAAATTTAATATATGATGGACAAGAAATGAGATTCAGTACTCAATGACTAAAAAAAATAAGACACCAAAGATATATTAAGGTTTTATTTTCTATACATTTAGTATCATTTTAAAGATTTTGATCAAAAAATTCTAAACACATCTTAAAAAATTATCAAACATGGTTGTAATTTATTAAAGATTTTATTAAATATTAATTTTGACCTTTTTAATGTTTTTTTTTTAAATCTAATTAAAATTATTTCGTCAAGAAATTTTTAACAATACCAATTATGTAAAAAACAAAATTCCAGTGCGTCCTCGATGACCCATGCCTTCTTCCTTCCTTGTTCTTCTCTATTGTCACGTCACCTTATTTTCCTTCTATTTCTTGACGATTGGATCTTCAATTATATTTTTTAATCACTAAATTTTTATAAATATTTGGTTGATTTTTGTTAGGGTTAATTAATTTATAAAAAAAATATTTTGAAACATTTATTAGACAACTATAAGTAGTGTAGAAAAATATATTATGAGATATGACCATCATTTCAAATAATATTTATGTATAACAATGATATTCTGAAATATTATTATATTTAAATTGTGCTATTTTTTAAATGCCTTTTCAACCTATGTTATTTTTTAAAAATCTTTTAGCAAACTATGTTATTTTTCAAAAATAAAAGCTTAAAATACACTATATATAAAAAATTAGATCTCTATACAATGAATAAAACACATACAAAAGAAAAACAATTAGCAAAACTACTGCTAAAATTACTAAATACAGCAAGAAAAACATAAAAATATTCAGACCTCCCTCACAAGGAGGCTACAAAGGAATTGCCCAAAGGACAAAACTTGTGGGTCCCATAATAATAATAATAATAATAATTAAAACCTCCCTAACGAGGAGACCATTATAATAATAATAATAATATATTTTCATGAAAAAAATATTTTTTTTAAAAAAACTATCAACTAAATCTAAGAATTATTGACCCTACCTACCCATTTGCAAAAACAATAGCCTTGAATAGTAAGATGCGCTAGTAACCAGAAACAAGATTTTATAGCTAAATAAAATCTCAAAATAGACCATAAAAAAAAAGCTGGACCTCTATACAAGGAATAAAATACATACAAAATAAAGCAACTAGCAATACTACTGCTAAAATGACTAAATACAGAAAAAAATAAAATAAAAATTAAAACCTCCCTAACGAGGAGGCTACACAAGGGAATCGCCCGGAGGACAAACCTTGTAGGTCCCACAAAGTCTATCAGCACCTAACCACTTCCAAATGGGGCAAAGGAATCATGCAGCAACACTCTCTCTAAATAGGAGGAGTACAGAGCCATGCAAACTCGCCGTTTGTAGCCCTCTCTCTCTCTCTGGCCATTTGTGTCAATAAAAACGCGCTATCTCTCTCCCTCTTGGCCCTCCTTCTCTTCTCTTTTCTATATTTAGCAACCCAAAATAAAGCCCCTTTCTTTTTATCTAGAGAAATTAAGAAAGCTAAGTCCTCTGCTTTTCTTTTAAAACCTGACCATCGACATTGGTTCTTGATTTCAAAGACTCAGGTTTTTTGGTTTCTTAGGGGTTTTTGATCAATTGGGTCTTTGTGTTTTCAAGAGAAAATTATAATGGGGAGAGGAAAGATTGAAATTAAGAAGATTGAGAACGCAAATAGCAGGCAAGTCACGTTTTCAAAAAGAAGAGCCGGGTTGCTTAAAAAGGCTCAAGAGCTTGCCATTCTCTGTGATGCTGAGGTTGCTGTAATTGTTTTCTCAAACACTGGCAAGCTTTTTGAGTTTTCCAGTTCTGGGTATGCATGTATAATCTATGTTTTCTTCCCCCCAAAATATTGCTCATTGAGTAAAAATAAGTTCTTTTTGGTAAAGTTTTGGTACTTATGAGTATTTTTAGGTGATTGCATGTGTTACCTGGTGATAGCATAACTTCGTTGATTTATGTTGTGATTTTGGAGTCCATCTGAGCTATTTTACTTTTTTTTGCAGGTTTTTTAATAAAAAAATAGGATATATATATTTTTGTCCGTATTGATGAGCTTTTAGTTTAGTTTTTATCATGTGAACTTCATAAATTAACATGCGTTCATGATTTTTTTTTTTAAATTACCGTCGCAATTTCTTTTAATTAAGTGGTTAAATGGTGCAATCGTGTTTTTTTTTTTTGAGGGGGATTGTTAGCATGTTTTTGCATGCGACTTTGGATCATATCTGCTGGAATGGTTTTCTCTGAGGTTTTCTGAGATAGATTTTTGCAGGGATTTAGCTTACATTGATTCACGTGCATTTGATGTAGTAGGTTGATAGAGATACGTTTTCCTATAATTTTTTTTTCAGATTTAATTAAGTCGATTTACAAAATGGGGATTTTTTGCAATGTATGCAAAAGGATCGACGTTTTGGGTTTTTTCATCACTTTAATGGATGCGTTTTTGGGTGCTCTGTTTTCTAAAGATGTTTTGATGAGCAGCACACTATTCTGCCCGTGAATTTATTATTTAGTACATCAGTAGATCCTAAAAAATTTCTCCCTGTGGTGTAATCCTGGCAAATAAAGTAACGAAGCAAGTTAAATTCTAGCCTGTATTATTTAACTTTGTGGAGTTGTTGTGGCTTCTGCATGGAAATTCTTTATCTCTATGATTTTTGCTCTCGTACTTTCAGGAAATGAAGGACATTTAATCTATTGAATACTGACAGGTTTCAACATTATATTCTGCTTCTTTAGTCATGGATGTTTCGAATGTTCCTTCTACTTTCCTTTTCAACCTCTTCTCAAAATGTTTTATCACTCTGTTTTATTGTGTTTCATTTGTTTATTTGTCTAGGGAAAAATCTATGTTCTTTGAGTTCTTTCAAGTGTTTGTCAGTTTGCTTTATCTAAAACATTCTCAGCTAAAACAACAACAATATCTAGAACATGTAGGTGACGGAAAGTACTAAATTTCTCTTATTGGTCTTTTTTGGCAGCATGAAGAGAACACTTTCGAGATATAACAAGTTCTTAGATTCCCCAGAGCAGCCTAAAATAGAATACAAGGCTGAGGTAGTCTTCGATTCATGTTTTCACTAGTACCTTATGTTCTTGTGTGTTTGTGCATGCTGGTGGCATGCCTACTTAAACAAAGGTGGTGTTATTTTTGTTTCCTCTTATTTTTTGTTCTTCTGATACCTGGTCTCTTCCTTTTCTATGCTAGTATGGGCTTATCAAATTCAATTTTTAGAGAATTTATTTTGGAGAAGAGAATTAAATGTGAATACATGCAATTCCTTTCCTAGGCATTACAATTTTTCTTGGTTAGTTTTGATAACAAGCTCCATGTTATGCAATGCCTTAAAGATTGAAGGATGCTTAGGCATCCCTACCAAATTTATGATGTTTGATGACTTTTTTCCTGAATAAGCTTTGTTGTGAAATTGTATGCAAACTATCTATGTCCGCCAAGTTAAAACGAACAGTATAAAAGAAACAATTACTAACTTGTTCCCTCCGTTTTGACTTCTACATTTTGGGATCCCCAAAATGTTTGATAAATAGCCTCAGGCGGGATTGTTGATTCGGATATGAAGTAAAATTATCTATGGGCTTCATTGACCTCTGGATTTAGGGATCACACAAAAGGAGGAACCTAGAGCATTGCTAGCAGGATCATTGTCCTCCCCAAGCCCCCACGCAAATAAAAGATGTACTATGGAGATTTAAGGAGAAATGCTTCCTAATAGTAGAGTTAAAACAAAACACTAAGACAAAAATATCTCAAATTGGAAACACTGGAGAAAATTGATGAGATTTTGCACTTGCTTTGTCCCTTTTCACCCCTTAGCACTCGCAGAATATCATTCATTGTGCTTTTTTTGTGGTTTGCGCACGTACAAACTCTGCTTTTTGGATGAGATTCGTTATAAGGTGGAGCAGTTTGTTTTGATTAATTTTTTCTGTTGTACATTCTTCTTCAGAAACCAGATTTGAAAGAGGTCGATGTTCTAAAAGAAGAAATTGCAAAGCTACAAGTGAAACAGTCGTATGTCTGCACTAAATTATTTGATTAAATCAAATGTAGCTTTTGGAATTATGCAAGATCTTATTGTCTGTCTCTGATTCTGAACTTATAGGCGACTTTCGGGAATGGACCTGACTGGATTGAGCTTAAAAGACTTGCAACAACTAGAAAAACAGTTAAATGAAGGGTTGTTATTCGTGAAAGAGAAAAAGGTTCTGCTGAAATTTTCTTCTTTTGCTTATCCAAGCTTCGTTATGAAAGCAAAATTGAGAGATTTTTGTTTGTTGTGGTAAATTAACACAAGTTTTGCCTTTGCAGGAGCACTTACTGATGGAACAATTAGAGCAATCAAGAGTACAGGTAATTGGAGCTCTTAATGAAGCATGTTTTCCTTTGACCTAAATCCTTTTTTTCTTAGACAATGTACATTATGGTACTCTCCTGCAATCATCTTCAGACGGGGAAAAAACACTTGCTGAAAATTATTTTTTGTTATATATTGTCATAGATTTTTAGGACTAAGGTTATGATCCATCCTGTTATGAAAACTGATACTCCTTTTCAGAGTACTTCATTTAGTTTTTGGTTTCCAGGAACAGCGGGCCATGCTGGAGAATGAAACTTTGCGCAGACAGGCAAGGATTGTTTTCTGATACAACTATTAGTTTCTTTCATTTCTTTGAAAAGTCTGACATATATAATGGAATGTATTGTTTATTCTTTACATTTTGAAGATTGAGGAGCTTCGAGGTTTCTTTCCATCAACTGATCATCCAGTCCCACCTTATCTTGAATGCTATGCGACAGAAAGGAAGAATTCTCCCATAGACAATGGCGCCACAAGCCCTCCTGTAGCCCACTATATTTGCTCCATTGAGAAAGTCGATTCAGACACAACTTTGCATTTAGGGTATGCTGTTTTTCTTGCATTATTCACCCTCTATCCTCTATCTGACTGGCTGCTTGCGGCTGCCTATTGTTTCCTTTTCGTTTAGGTGATTTTGTATATAGATTTTTTTTTTTTGGTTGTGAACCCGCAGTTGCATTATCTGGTACTTCTGAGTTGGAACTTGACACCTGATCATTCAGTTCTCATGAATTGGCATACTGGTTTCTGTTGCTAGTCTTTTCTCCTTTGCTTCCTTGCACATTCAAACACAAACCAACCAAACTCTAGCTGAGGTTTAAAGTCTTCATACAATGTTTTGATAATTCATTTTCTTTGGGAGAGTTGATTAGGGATTTTCATAGATATGGACTTAACTTTCTTTTCATACCTTTCTTCTGGTAGCAGTGGTTCCGATCTCTCTTTTATTTACACGGATTCAGTCTCATTCTCTCTTTCACAAATGATTTGAAAGGGTAGCCTGATCAAACTATTGTTGCGAATAGCTACTAGCCTTCTATGTTACTGGTTCTCATTCTCATATACGCTCTACGTTTCCCAGGCTGCCTACTGACACCAATCGCAAGAGGAAAGCACTAGAAGGAGAAAGCCATTCCAATGATTCAGATAGTCGACTGAGCCTGCTGTAAATTTATCCTTCTTGCCGTTCTCCTTTAATGTTAATATAGCCAACAAAACTGAAAAGAATATGCCGCAGTTGACCAAAGTTTCTCTTGAGACATCAGTTAGGCCAATCAAAAGATAATCATGAAATTTGTGGCTTGCGGATATTGCTTTTATAGGAGAAAAGACTGAACTTTCCAGTGAGGCAGAAAGAAAAGAACTGTAGTTGGTTTGCCTAAATTTGAGATGGCATGTAGTGCTTAGTTTCTTGCAATGACTAAAATGATGAACTTAGCTTTTCCATATAGTACATGAGACGAAGGTTCACACTTCTTCATCCAATCATTTGAACTTGTTGTGAGATTAAAAAAATGCCTTGATATCTTATTGTTACCAAGCATTGCAGTGATGACTTGAGCCTGGGCGAGCCGCCTGGGTGGGAACGCCTCTGACCAGCTACACCACACCCCTCTTCGTTATTTTCCAGCCTGTTAATAGATGTAGAAACCTGCATCGCATCTGCTCTTACTGGATAAATATCGACTGTGTGGGTGAGATCACGGAGACAATTTTCACAAGTATTTAATAATTCGAAGTTCATAACAACGGAAAAAGGCGTTCTAACACTTACAAACGATTCTTTAGCTACAATCAGAATAATACAATCAAATAATACAACCTATATGCAGAGGATCAACATAACTATTGTTTCGTATGTCGAATGCCGTCAAGCAATTCATTTCTTCCAGCCAATATTTCGGAGAAGAGAGAGTTTACTTCCTTGTCCAAACCATCCAGCAGCTGCTCGAATGCTTTCAATCTTCTCTGCATCTCCTCAGCTCGATAACTTACCTTTTCATTAGCTGTGGCCGCTGCAATACAATCTGCTGCATCTTTCAGCTCTTTAACCTCCTTTAACACAACCCCTCTATCCATTACTGCTTCAGAAATACTCATGTCCAGTTTGATCACTGAAGAGTTAGAGAACATCCCAGTAGTCGATTTTCTCATCTCCAAGAATGCCCTGGCATCACCAGACAGACCAGCCAATAGAACATAACATACCCAGAATCCCACACTGTTTAATTCAATCAAAGCTTGATCAATGATCCATTCCTCACCAGAGCAGGGTCTTTCTTTCTCATCGTCAATGTTGTCTTGGCCTTTGAAATTCTTGATTGAACTGTTGAACTTGATTGCCTTGATATGCTCAATTGCCGAAGAAGGTGAACTCCCCAGGAGGCTCAAAGAATGAGCCAAAGAAAGCCGAACTTTTTCTAAATGAGACAGAGAAAAGCTAATAGAGTTAAGAAGATCCAGCAAGCTCAAGCTATACTTGAGATACTCTTCAACAGACTGAGACTTCCATTTGCTCATATGGTAGTCTATATCCACAACCAGCTTTGCAAAAGCTTTATTGATGGAGGGTATAAGCTGAAAACATTGTAGAACCCATGAGAAGGACAGGATTTCTGACCCGGGCTTCAAATCCAAGCACAGTTGGTGTACGCAATTTGAAACATCGGATCTAAAAGCCTGTAAAGAAGCAGATAAGGCTTCTGGTTGCTGGTGCTGATGATGATTCTCCATCTTGGAGTATAGCTTGCTAATCCTTTCCACCAAGAGTACCATTTGCAACTCAATACAAAGTAGGGAGCTTTTCTTTCTGGTAGGAACACAAAGGTATCTTTGAAAGTTTGGTTTTGGTCAATGTGCCTATAATGAATGCGATAATAAATGGTCGATATAGTAATAGTTCAACAAGTTGATATCTGACTTGGCTTAAGCCGAAACAGCAGCACAAAAGGTGGGCAAAACCAGCAATTCATGTGACCATTGGAATGTTAATAATAAACAAGGAAAAAAGGTGGCGGTCAAATGTGCTTATCTTATCGTATTGCATCTGCTTCTTCAGCTGCACTGAAACACGTTATGTTATGAAATTCTTCGAATAGTAAAGTCCCAACCACCGGTCAACAACATGCTTCGGAGGTCCACTTGTGCCTGCCTTCAGGGTCAAGCAAGACGAAGAAGGAAAACGAAAGAAAGAGGACCTTCACCTCCCCCGAATAACATCTGCCACAAATAGTTAATCAATATAAAAAGGTCGTGGATTGCTCGCTGACTGGAATCAGATAAGATCATCCTAGCTTTATATATAATAGGGGCATGTTCTTATTACACTCGGCCTTGTTAATGTGTTTATCAACGAGAATCCAAGTTCCATACAATATCAAATAATCCTTTCCCCTCAAGTTCAAGTGATCGATATAATAAAACTAATGTTTACTGTTGGATAATAGAAGTATGATGAACTTCTCCAACCAAATTTATCAAATATTTCTCACCAAAGTGATGATGAAATGATCAATAGAAATATCGTGTCTGTTCCTATCACCCCCCGAAAAAGTAACCTCCATTAAAGTACTATAGATTTTCGTGTGGGTTTCTCCTTCGGATTGTTGAGCTGATAAGCTTTTGACAGATGAAGCGATTCTATTCGCAAAGATACCTTTAATCTTGCAACTTGATGAAAGCTACACACGCGTGGAATATTAATAACGTTTAATATCAACATATTAAAATAAAAATTAATAATAATTTTAAAAAATTAAATAAAAATTAATATATTATAAAAAAATACTTTTATGTTAATCAAGCACATTGCACCGTAACACAAATTCTTGCATCAAAAGTTTTTGTAGCACCGAGTAGACTAGAAACTCATCTAATATTCTAAAGAAAACCAAGTTTACAAGTAATTAGTACTTTAATTTCGCTACAGGATATTGTACTGTCTCACCAGAGATAGGAACGAGGATCCGATTCCTCCCTCCAACCGAAATGGAAAAACAACGAGTGATGAAGCTCGAGATAATTACACATCAATCTGGACTTCTCAATTGATTTTCATTTAATTATTTGAGTTTTGTTCCTTTTTTTAACACAAGCTAGCAATAAATTTTTAAGCCTTGATATTTTTATAATTAATCACGTCATCTCTTTATTAATCATGTTTTCTTTTCCTCTTAAAACCTTTTTTGTGCAAGTGTCTCTCCATCAGAGACAGTCCTGCTGTGGCTGGGCTATGGCGGCCAGACTCGACCACTCTGTTCCAAAAGCATACCAGCCCAGGCTATCACCTCAAATGGGAAGTGGGCATGGGCTGATATGATATGGAAGGCCTCACAAACTACTGATGGGCCTCAAGGTGGTCTGTCCCCGAGTCTCTCGCCGCGATTTCCGAGTGGTGATATTCCTCGAGCCAGACAGAGGAAAGGAGGTCTACCATTCCATCTTTCTCTTCCTTGGAAGCGCATGAACAGACGGAGAGTGGTGCTCGGAATCAAATTGGTACCACTGAAGAATGAAAAGTGCTAAAAAACAAGAGTATGCCTTTGGAAAACTTCCAAAAAGATGACAGGCAACACTGACAATTATTGGGGGATGGCTTCTCCGCAGAACATGGTTCGATGATGTGGCTTCTTTGGGGACCAAAGGCGATGTAGAAAGGCTATTTCAGGTCATTAGCAGCAAAAAAAACTTTAATTTTTGTCACAGCTGCAAGACATTTTAGAGTAATATTACAATTTATACTTGTCGCAATTCCAAATTCCAAAACGGTATATATAAAGAAATTATAATTAAAAAAATGATATTCAATAAAAAAAAATTATGTTTGGGTAGAAAAATGTAGATTGGGGTTTAATTTTGTTGGATATCACGATAGCGACATCCATGACAAGCCATGTTTTTTAAATCATGGCCGGCTAAGATTGTGCTATCTCATTAGTTTTTATTTTAATTGTAATTACTCACCTATATTTTAATTTACTATGCTAGCTTTTTTAAATCAACAAAATTATACACGTGTTTTATAAATATATATATATATATTGAAATAATTAATTAATTCATATAGCCAGATTAAGCAATCTAAAAATACGTTAGAAACATATAGCCAGATTAAGCAATCTAAAAATATGTTAGAAATATGTTTTAAAAATATGATAAGATAAAAATGTGTTATTTTATTTAATATTTTTTAAAAATTTTTAATTTACTGATCTGATTTTTTAAAAAGATCCAATTTTTTATTATTGTTTTGTATGAATTCTTTTAATCTCATCCCATGCCCCACTTTTGATTGTTGGTTTGCAAAGGGGGAAAAAAACATCTCGATTCTCAATCCAACAGTTAAATTACTGCAGCAAATTTGGTGTGTTCTCGAACCAAAACCACATTCGAAACGCAGCCGACAGGAACGGCCGCCCCGACGGTCTTGTCATCGTCCTTTTAGCCAGCACCGCTCACTTCGGAGTTCTGACTGCACATTCTGTTCTATTCTCTCTGTGTGCCTTCGGTTAAACTGTCCATGGCGGTTAAACATGGTAGCTAAGTGCCTCATGGCTCCTGGCTAGTTGGGCTGGGGAGGGGACCCTATTCGTACATCACCTGTCTCCCCGTTGCCCTCTTGTAGGCTTGCACAGAACTTTTCCAGACAGTTGCAGCAAAACAAGGATTATTACGTTGACTTCAGTGGACCCCACAGCATGTTCATATTTTTTTCCAAGAGATGAAATGATGGGCCTTTGCCTCATAATTGCGCACTGTTATCCATTGATGCAAAGGTCAAAAAAACCACTCCCTGCTGCTTTCGGCTTCCCCGGCCTCGGTACCGTCAAGGGTAGTTCGATAATATATTATTCGCATACTGTACGGACTCCTTTTAAAATCGCCTATATTGGTAAAAAGTTATGCAGTAAAAAATAATGCATTTTAAATTATTTTGAATAGCATCACGTTTTATAATATTTTATGTTTTACTATTGCTATTTGTGATTGTTTTTTGTGATTGTTTTAAAAAATATATATAAATTAATTAATTTAAATAAAAATTAATTAAATTTTTTATAAAGATTCAATAATAAAAAATAAAATTTTAAAAAACTTACCAGAAATAAACGAATAATTTTTAAAAATAAGATTTTTGGTTGTCTCGTGTAAGATGATTTTAATCTAAAAATTTTCTATTTTTATACAATTTATTGTTTTAACCATGTTTAGGATATAAATAAATAAGAAAAATATAGGTATATATGAATATAATTTTTATGAATGTTTTTATTCATTTATTTAATATCAGTAGCAATTATAAAAAATAAAAAAATTATATAAATTATATTTTTAAATATTCTTTGATATTTTATTTTGATCACTTGTATTTAGTAATGTAGTTGAGAACTCTTGAAAAAAACCCTAAAGAATTAACAAAATTAGATATTGTTTTTTTTGTTGTTGTTAGTATTAGTAGCGACTGGAAGAAGAAATTATCGAAAAAAAATGAATATTTTGTCTAAAAAAGTCAAAGATAATATAAGATGTCAACCAAAAATATATTATAAGAAAAATTAATCCAATTTAATAATCTAATAAATTCTTATGTAATCTTCTTATTATTATTATTTTAGATTTTAATTGGAGGCCTTGGGTGATTTAATATACTTATTTTATATTATTTAAGGTTTTGCGCGGTGCATAAATGAATATAAAATCAAAAAATGGGATTAAACACTTTTTATAAATTACCTATTATTTTTTAGTCTCTTTCTTAATTAAAGACTAATAATTACTTTTTTTTCTACAAAAAGAAAAGTTAATTAAACTACGTATACTACCAATTTGCTCCATGCATGTGAAAAAGAAATAAAAAAGGGTATTAAAATTCTTATTTTAGTTATAAAACTAATAAAATTGAATTCATCGGGAAGAAAAACAAAGTTCGACTCATTATAATTATGATAAAATTGATCATCAAATGTTAATGCAATCAGTTCTTCTGTCTTCTTCATTGTTACAAGAGAGGCTCGGCAAGGAACCTTCGCGGGAAGGGTGTGATGTTGCTATTTGAGCTACAATCCGACCAATCTCGCTGGCTGTTTCTTCTATTTATGGAAAAAAAAACAAGAAACGTTTCAAATTATAACAACATGACAAAGATAATAATAATATATATTGGGATTGGTGGAGCAATTTTCCGATTATGAATTCAGAAGTAGTGTATGTACTGGTCCCCTGAACCGACGAGAAAGGAGCCACCAACCACCATAGCTATAATTAAATTCATTCCAAAAAGTTCATGATTATCCGAGTTATATTTTAATCCAAATGAAAATAAGATATCGGTCCGGTTAATTAATCTAGTCCGAAGTTTTATTAAGCCAGTATTAAAGAATTTGTTGGAAAAAAAAACGAATGAAACAATGGCTTTTAATTAAAAAAAATTCTTACTTTGATGATCCAATGACTTGGATTTTTATTCATGTCAGATATCATATGGTTGACAAGTATATTCTTAACTAAAAATTTATTTAAAATTAAATATTAAAAATTTAGTGAACAAAAACTATACAAATTAGAATATCATGTAAAGTATAGAAGAAAAATAGTTGTATATATAAATCTTGAATTTATAATTTTATTTTTTGAAAAAAAAGTTTAATAGTAGTTCTCTCCTTAGAGGTTGAAAAGATTTTTAGATCCTGATCATTATTGTGTTTTAAAAATATTTTTGAAACAATTTAATTTTTTTATTTTTTATTTTAAATTAATATTTTTTTGGTAATTTTAGATTATTTTGATGTGTTAATTTAAAAAATAATTTTTTAAAAATAAAAAAAATATTATTTTAATATATTATTAAATAAAAAATACTTTAAAAAGCAACAATAACTATTACTATATTTTCAAATAGGTTATAAATAATTAATTTTAAAAACTCTATCTCTGCATCAAGAAAATCCAAAATCACAAAGTAAATTAATACAAACTTTGAACAAGGACAATAAATCTAAAAAAATCTAAAAAAAATAACAAAAATGTTCCAAACAATAATTTTTAGATATAGTTTGAGAGATCTAGCTATTCAATAAGCAAGGAAATACCTTATTACAAGAAAACTCCATGTAAAATTATCAAAAACAATTCTGAACAGAGTGGACCTGTTCTTGTATATACACCAATTTGATGAACCATAAAAAATCTGCCAATTAAGTAATTCATATATGGGGGGAAATCCCCATCCAGTAATGTCACATGCTCACTTGAACACTCAAAAGCTTCAATTCTACAATCATGGCTGCATCATTTAGCCCGTCTATGGAAATTGAAAAGGACTTCCTCTTTCTGTGCCAGTTGCCAGATAACATGAGATATATAGTATAAAGAACTTCATCGAATCTCGAAGAGGAGTTTTGTCAAGAACTAGTATAAAGACAACGAAAAGTCTTGTCTTTGCATGCACAGTGATTGCTACAGGCTACCAACCGAAGCTTTTATTTTCCTCGTCAGTTTTAAGCTACTGGTTTACGTTAATAGTAACTAAGAAACAGATAATTATTACAGCTGATTCCTGCAAGAAGTGCAATGAGAGAAAAATCCACACTCGGATCCACCAGCACTGTTTTCCAAACCTGCTCATAATATTATTTTTATTTCTGATATATTTAAATATCAATTTCCCTTCTCTCCTTTTGTCTTGTTCCCCGTATTTATCGACAATGCTGCAAATAGAAGTTTTCATAAGTTGAAAGACAACATTACAGGTGGAAATTAGCTAAGAAGTTCCTTTTCTTACATTTCTTTTTTTTTCTTTTGGCTAGCTTGGATATATTTGACTAGTTTTATAAGTTCTAAAATTAATAATTATATAAATTTTAATATTTATAAAGTTTATAAAACTCAAATTATTAACCTTAAAAAAACAAACTTAAAATCTTATCAATAAATTATACCTTTTAATTTTTTTTGCTTGAAATTCTTTTTTTTTTGGATTTACGTGGGGTATCCGGGCCAGCTTACGCGCACCACAACTAATCTCCATGGCCCACTGAATATCCTGCAAACCCAGTGAGCAGGTAAGGCATCACGGGGATGACAGACGTGCATAGTAAAGTTCGAACCCAGATATAAAGAAAAGGAACAAACAACTCCCGCTAGATCAAAACCACAGACGTGCATAATAAGGTTCGAATCCAGATACAAAGAAAAGGAACAAGCTCCTCTCACCGCTAGACCAAAACCTGACTTGCTTGAAATTCTTATTTAGTTCAGTGCACGTAATTTGACGGATGTAATAGAAAAAACACCGGCTGCTCTGCTGTAGATCATTGCATCCAATCACTTAAGACACACATTGGCAAGGAACAATGATGATTCATCACTGATACGCATGTTCACTAACTGGCCAAACAAGTGTAACTCACATGGCACGACATGATTGGTGTGACCAGGGGGAAACAAAGAAAAATATATCATAAATTAATCTCCCAGGCACCATGACTGGACCCCTTCCCTTTAATTATTGTTAAAAAAAAATGGTATAAATCTCATATGCATTAGAAAATTAATCTTGGGGGTAACCATTACGTAATTATATAGACTTCATATTCTGATCTGGGGGCATTTTTGACTTTGTGGCGAGCTCTTTGCGAGTATAAAACTCCCCCATTATCTACAGCTACAGAGCAGGTGGATTAAGGCAATCTTCGTAATTTTTTTAGTGCATGTTTTGGAAGTAACGAAAAGAAATACCATGGAAAGTAATCCATGCTTGCTTCTCGTTGTCATTCTTGTTGTTTCTTGTTCTGTAGTTCAAAGCGAAGCGGCTGGCAAGAGGCAAAGCGAAGCACTTGGCCATCTCTACAAGGCCAAGTACTCGATGGGAAATCTTAGCATTGACAATAGTCTTTTTCAAGCTATTCAACATGTAGATACATCCAGGTTTCATGCTCAAGAGGGACTAAAAGAGAAGGATAGAATAGAGAGCTTGCCGGGACAGCCAAAAGTAGAGTTCTCGCAGTATGGAGGCTATGTTACCGTTGATGAATCTGCTGGACGAGCACTCTATTATTACTTTGCCGAGGCTCAACATTCTAAAGAGTCCTTGCCTCTTCTTCTCTGGCTCAATGGAGGTACACTCCCTCTTCTCTCATCCTTCGGCGTTTTCTTTCATGCTCTCTGTTTTTTTTCACTTCCGATATTTCAAAAATATCACTTTGCCAAAACAAATTGAAAATGTTCCCTTCATGTTAAAGAGGATTAGATGGTATATTAAAATGGATTGCTGGGTTCCTTTAATTAGCGCCTTCATTTTCTGTTTGGATCTTGGATATATAGGATCTTCTACTTTTTGTGTGTTCTTTCTTAATTTTTCTTGTTCGTTCACTGTTAATTATCAGAGAAGTAGAATATATGGAAATATCCCATAAAGTTCTCAAGTCTCCGCTCTCATATCTTTTCATCATTGTTTGCTACCTTTTCCTCCTTTTCTCTCTCACATGCCATGTGATTTTTGCTTCTTGCTAATATCGCCACAGTCTTGCATGACAGTATAAATACAAAACCGCCGGGATATTAAATAATCCTGATCAGAAAGCTAGTTTATTTATTTGGTTGTACAATACCTTGTTTTCTTAATTAGGTGTAACTAATTATCAGAAAGAGATTCTCTTTTAGCGCAGTGAGCCCTCATCGCCATGGGCCCTGGAACTTAGAAAAAAAGAAGAACAAAACATGAATTCAACAACCCCACATGGTCAGCTGGCACATGATGGCTTCCCAATCCCATAATTCACTCCCATGAGGATTTCTCGCCGTTCATGATGTAACCCTCTTAATGCTATAGACTAATGATTTACAAGTAATCATTCTCTCACACTACTCAAATGCTCAGGATATAATATCTCTGTCAAGTTGAAACCCCACCGTGCATCCACTTAAGAAGAACACTACTAATATGAAAAGGGGGATTGGATTTAGTGGCTGATGGCACATATCCCTCCTTGATCACATCATTTATAACTTGACTAACGTGCAAATTCCTTTTTTCTCCTCCAAAAATATCATATAAAAAGACTAATTATTTGCACTCTCTACTCTAAAGAAGACCTTAATGTGCTTAGTGACCGTATATTTGCTTGAATTGTTTTTTTTATATAGAATGCTTCCCTCTTTCTCTTTTCGTCGCTAGAGCAAATAACGCTTAAGTTCACTCGCATTAGCCACAAAATAATCATCTTGGCAATCTTGATGAAGAATTACTTCAATATTTTAGACCCTGTGCGGTGAATCTAGCTAGCTTGCCACCGTATTTTAGACCCTGTGCGGTGAATCTAGCTTGCCACCTTCTCATCTGCGAGGCCATTTGCCAGATTCATAGCAAAAAACCAAAATTGACACTTTGCAAATTTATAATCTCTAACTAATTGCGTTTTGCGTACTAATAATCGTTTATTAGGTAGGATATTGGATTTAATAATTTCCACCCCTATTTTTTAGTATGTATGAAAATTAAACCAAATGGGACTAAAACTTTAAAATGGAGAGAGAGAGAGAGAGAATCATATTTTTACATTTTTTAAAACAAAAAACAAAAACGCATATAAATATTCCTCGACAAATAAAAACTATTTTGCATTTCCGTTCCCTAAAGCTTTGAACTCCATTGCCTCATCTCCCATGGCCGCTGGAGAAAACCCAAAGAGAGAAGATGCTGACCCCTTCTGATGGGCACAAAACTAATACATGTTTTCTTGCTCTCTATGTGTGTTTATATACATGATGTATGTTTGTAAGTTAGAGAGAGAGAGTCTGATATCAAAAGGCTTATTTTGCCTAACAACATAAGTTTATTATTATGGTGGTGGTGGTGGCGGCGGCGTGTTCTAACACAAAGATTGATTTCTTTATTGTAGGCCCTGGTTGTTCATCTTTGTCATATGGTGCAATGCAAGAACTTGGACCATTTCGAGTATATAGTGATGGCCAAGCACTTTATAAAAATAGACATTCATGGAATTATGGTATAGATCTTTAACTTTTATAAATGGTTGTTAATTTATTATTTACATTTAATGCTATAAGCACAAAGGGATAAAAAAATGGTTTTCTTTTTCAGCTGCCAATGTTTTGTTTCTTGAATCTCCTGCGGGAGTAGGGTTTTCATACTCAAACACGACATCAGATTACAAGAAAAGTGGAGATAAAATGACAGCTGAAGATAATTATGTGTTCTTAGTGAATTGGCTAGAGAGGTTTCCTGAATACAAAGATAGAGATTTCTACATATCAGGTGAAAGCTATGCCGGGCATTATGTGCCTCAACTTGCACACACTATTCTTTACCATAACAACAAGGCTAAGAAGACCATTGTCAATCTCAAAGGAATTCTAGTACGTATATTCTCCCTCAATCCACCTGTAATCATATTTAAGGAATTAAATTTTAAATTTAGACTAAATCACCATTCAAAGCCATCCCTTTCCCTCTTGGCTAGATTTCCTCAGTAGGTCAGGTTCGGAAAATATTTTCCAACTTGCAAACAACTTGCATTTCCTTTTAAATAATTACAATACTTGACTTGCACATGACAGCATCATTGGATTTACGCAAAACTTGGTAGATGTGGATCGGTCGGGGTGTCCTTCGGCCCCAAAGGGGGCAAGGCAGCCCACATTCCATTATTTGTGGTAGAATTAGATTGTTCGCTAGAATCATTTAAGATATTGAAAAAAAGAGAGGAAAATCTCAAGTGACTTGAAAAAACAACTAACAAGAGTCTTACTAGTGCAAATTATTGGCTTACATAAGAGTAATGTTCCATTCTCTTGTGGAAATTGCAGATTGGGAATGCAGTGATCAATGACGAAACTGATAGTATAGGGATGTATAGCTATTTCGGAAACCATGCTCTAATCTCAGATGAGATGGTTCAGAAAATACTAAAATCTTGCGATTTCTCACCCAATGCGACATCCCAGTCTGATGAGTGCAATCAAGCAGCAGAAGCAGCAGGCAAGGATACTAGTTATATCAATATATACAACATCTATGGTCCATTGTGCCTTCGTGAGGGTACCACAGCAAATCCTAAGAAACCTTCTGTAAGTAATTAAGACATTTGTTTTATAAAACTCATAAACTATACAAAATATCCCTCCTATTAATTTGCTTGACTACATATCTTGTGCCGCAGCTGGTGGATTTTGATCCATGTTCTGATTATTATGTGTATGCTTATCTCAATCGACCTGATGTCCAAGAAGCCATCCACGCCAATGTCACCAAACTTACTCATGATTGGGAACCCTGTAGTGATATCATACCAAGTTGGTCAGATAGCCCTTCAACAATTATTCCGCTACTGCAAGAATTCATGGCAAACGGTCTACGAGTGTGGCTATTTAGGTAAAGTAATAATGAGCTCAATTGGATATATATATATATATATATATGTTCTCTCATTATATCACATATGTTAGTGGGTTCTTAATTAATTTTTAGTATAATATTGTCTTGCACTTTGTTGAGTAGGGTCCTAATTAACTTGATAATAGCTAGCAAGACTCATATACTTCAGTGACACTTCGTAAATGTTGTTAATTTACAAAAGGTAAATAAGGTTAATTATCATAATTTGTAGCCAATGCCATTTCCAACATCTCTAATTATGTTTGCTTCTTCTTCTTCTTCTTCTTCTTCTTTTATCAAAAAGAGATATGAAGTGATCGTATGATCTATTCTAATGATAAATCTTCATTGCATGTAATCTCAGTGGTGACACAGACGGAAGGGTGCCATTTACTTCAACTCAATATTCTATAAATAAGATGAAACTCCAAGTTAAAACCGAATGGCATCCTTGGTACGTCAAAGGGGAGGTAAGTGCTTTTCTTTTTTTCACCGCTCAAATGTTTTCTTTATTTCTTCTCCCAATTGAGCATAGGAAAACAGAAATCCAAACCAGCCCTAAAAATAGGAATTTATATTATTAATGTTTGTAATTATAATCCCGAGATAAATGATACATCTTGTGATATTAGTCACAACTCACAAGAAAAAAAAAATTCATAAAAAAATAAAACGTGAGTCTTGTACGAACAACAATAGAAATTTTCATGCCACAAAAAAAGTTAAAAAAGAAAAGAAAAGGAATTCTATCCCCATTTATATTTCTAATCTCGAGCCAAATGGTCTCTCTATATATATAATCATCATCATCATCATCATCATGTGATAATCTTGCATATCAAGATATATAATTAATTAATCAGCATTCAATAGTTCTACGAAATTGTAGAAAAAATATGAAATAATTTTGCTTTTTTGTAGGTGGGAGGATACACACAAGTGTATAAAGGAGATTTAACATTTGCCACCGTGAGAGGCGCAGGGCATCAAGTGCCAAGCTATCAGCCATTGAGAGCACTTTCATTGGTCAAGCACTTCCTTGATGGCACGCCTCTTCCTGATACTACGAGATATTAAATCCATTTCTTTGTAATTTTATTCAAACCATCATTTCTTATATATTTATAAGAAATACTATTCCATAAGGCTAATTAGAAAAAGGGAAGTTTATTTCTTTCAATTTAAATAAAAATATAGTAAATTTTAAAGTCTTACTAAAAAAATTAACAAGTATCTCTAGCATTTTTGCTCTATGGATAATCTCCAAATAGGTTTCTAATAAAAATAATGTTACACAACATGAATATGGAAGTTATATCTTTTACTTGAAAAAAATATTAAATTCACCTATTTTAGTAATGTGCATGATTCTTCTCAATGAAAAATGTCCAAAATATCTCACACTACAATATTAATCCTTAATTGTATACAAAAACTGAACTCTTAAAAAATGTTTGATTGACTATTATATTCTTAATATGTGTGTGTATGTATGTATCATATTTCTATTATTAATATGTAATTAAATTCAACCCATCCCTAATTAAGAAAAACAAAACCAACATTGAAAGAAATTATTAAAACCTAAAAATTAATTGATCTTGTTTTTATTTATATTTAAATTATTAACCATATAAAATCTCAAATAACACTTAATAAGTTTCTTACATATTACTCCTAATTTAGAAAGAATATTATTAACACTTTTTTTGCCGATGAAAACTTTAAAAATACTTGAAAAGAAGCTTTAAAAATATTCAATATATACTATTACACGACTCCTCGTTTGTCTTAGCAACAAACAACATGTTGTTTATTTTTTTTTTTTAGATTTATAATTTATTATTTTATGATCTAAATAATAAATGATTTGGTGTTGCCAAATTTTTTTGAACTATGTAATCAGTCCAAGATATAAGAAATTAACACTCTATATTTAGAAAGTAATTATGATTTTTATTCCATGGATAACTACAAAAAGATCTTGTGATTTGATTTTGACAGTCACGTTTATAAATAGAGAATCTGGTTTTCCTTTTAATTTGATATTTATTTATTTTCAAATTCCTTGTTGATTTTTTCCTTTTGGTAATATTTAAATAGGGGTCAAGGACATCTTAGACATTTGCTTTCAGACCCGAGTAAATTACAGGATTTTATTGAATTGGTTTTTATCTTTAGGGACCTTTTGGAGGTTACCAGTATTTACAAGGAGATATTAGTATTTTTCTCAGAAAAATAGAAAATGGAACCGCAAATGGCTGCGGGACCGGAAACAATACTTGATTGATTCGGTCTTATCAAGACATGCACAAGCACCTGGAAACTCGCATCCTTTCAGTTCCAGGAACAATGGTCAAACACCTGAATTTCGAAGCTGAGAGAACCTCACGTTATCAGAGAAAAGTACGAGGATGTCTTTCCCGCTAACATTCTATTAACTGGTCAACGGGATCTCAGAAACTAACTGTGGAATCGGGCTCAGCTATTGTTATCGATCTTATCACAAAGAATAAAATAAATATTAATAGGAATCACAGTCATTTGCGGTTAATTAGGCGGCTCATGTTTATAGGAAAGTAAATTAAATAATTAAATAATTTAATTTCATTGGAAACTAGGATAAAAAATTAAATAAAAAATAATTTCTAAAAAGCCCTGTGAATTTTTTTTTGGGTGATTTTTTTTAGAAACTAGTATTTTAGAATTTTGTTTTTTATTATTTTTTTCATTGGAAACTAGGATTTTTTATGTGAGTGATCTTGATTTCCTGCATTAGTCATAGCTACATTATTTGAAAAGCATGATAAATTCATATTCCACGATCGATCTTCCTAACTTTTTTTTTCTCTTTTGATTATTTGGATCTCTTTCTAGAATAAGATTTGATTATATATCCATATATATCAAGCACCATTAACATCAAACCTAGAATTTATTTATAGGATACCACTAATCACCCTAAAATCTCTTGCACTCCATAAATTGTTGCTATTTATTAGAATGATAGTGGCTAATTATATTTATAGAAAACAAATTATATAAAGGGATGGATATTTGTTTCCAAATAGAAAATTAAGGTTTCATAAATAGGATCTGGAATTGAATGAAACGGTCAATGAATATCATCTCTCAGCCGTGGGTTCTCCTTGTAGTCTCATGCTAGGTTATTCCAGTTACAATATCATATAAAAATTGAAAAAAAGATGTCCAAAAACCAAGCCCCCTAAACCTTTTCTTGCTTTCCATTTTCTTTTTTTCTCGGTTTTTTATGTTTTGAGGAGAGGGAGAAAGCAAAACACGATGGGAAAGATACCTTGTTTGCTTCTTGTTTTCATTGTAACTCTTTCACGTTCTGTAGCTCAAATTCATGGCCCCAAGAACCAAGGCGAAGCACTTGACAATCTCTACAAAGCCAAGTTTAGTAGAGATTCCAGAATTGATTCAGTTCCTGTCGAGGTGCTTGATACGAATCAATTTGAGGTGATGGATATGCTTTTAGATGAATCAGAAGTTCGTCCTCTTCAAAAGGGATCAAAAGAGAAAGATAGAATCAAAATGTTGCCCGGACAACCCCAGGTCAACTTTTCACAATACGGTGGTTATGTTACTGTTAATGAATCTGCAGGTTCAGCACTGTATTATTATTTTGTTGAAGCTGATCAACATTCAAAGGAGGCGGCATTGCCTCTTCTTCTTTGGCTAAATGGAGGTAATTTGTTGCTCTTTACCCTATTTTCAATTGTCATTGCCATCATCTTCAAAAGACTTCGAGTTCTTTACTTGTTGCTTCATTTGGAAACAGATTGAGTGCCTAAGAAATATTGATGTTGTATAAATAAGTTTTTCATACAAAATTCGCATATAATTTTTCATCCACGCTTTAGTATCTATCAATTATAAGTTTAACATAAAAATTCTATTTGCAAATCATTAAAAAAAAAAAAATCAAACTTGACCGTCCATGTTATTTCTTAATTAGAACCTTAATTTTGTTATTCCTTTTGTTATTCTTTTCTTTTTCATATTTGAGACCAGATCACAAAATATGACATATGTCACGACTCTTATATGCGTGGAAGTATATTTAGTAATATATATACAGCATGGTTCATGTAAAACATGATTTATGTTAGCTTAATATAGTGTTAATATAGTGTAGTGGTGATTATTTTTTAAATTAATTTTTATTTAATTTAAATATAGTATTCATTTTTTCCAGTTAAATAATATTTATTTTGCTTTCGAGCTATGTTTTTTTAATATTATTTTTATTTTTTTAGATTATGGTGATACGTTAATATTAAAAATAAATTAAAAAAATTATTTTAATATATTTTTAAATAAAAAATATTTTAAAAAATAATCATTATTTTAATATTATACACTACCTTGAAAAAAAAAATTATCTTTACGAGCTTGCTTAATTTAAAAAAATAAATGAAAACTGCTTCATATGAACGCAGGCCCAGGTTGTTCATCACTGGGATATGGGGCAATGGAAGAGCTTGGACCATTTCGTGTACACAGCAATGGGAAAACTCTTTACAGAAACAAGTATTCATGGAATAAGGGTATGTTTTATCTTTCTTTCTTTCAATTGAATGATTTTCGAAACAAGGTTAGTCTTCCTCGGGAATTTTTCATAAACTAACTTAAGCCTCTCCTTTTAAGTTGCAAATGTTTTGTTCTTGGAGTCCCCTGCTGGAGTAGGGTTTTCATACTCTAATGCAACATCGGACAACACTTACACTAGTGGAGATAGAGATACAGCTGCACAAAATTATATGTTCCTTGTAAATTGGTTGGAAAGATTTCCCGAATACAAAGACAGGGATTTTTACATAGCCGGAGAGAGCTACGCGGGACACTACGTGCCTCAACTTGCAGATAATATTCTTCATTATAATAAGAAGGCTAAGAGGAGTGTCGTCAACCTCAAAGGAATCATGGTGTGTGTCTCCCCTCTAATTTCTTCCTTTTTAATACATAAAACTATTTCTTCCGTTCCCTTTCACGTATCAGCTTATTTTCTTCTTAACTGAAATTATTTGATACCAGTCATGACCTGATTTATGTCTTTGACCTTCGTTTAGCAACTTTGTTTTTTAAAGCAGAGTAGTTATTTGATATTAAACAGCTTGCACATAATTCGTAGAACTCTCATCCATCGCAGAAGCTTAAGTTATTAGATAAATAAATCTTTCGACACCTGAAGATCTTTTTTTTCCAGCATTGCAGTCAATTTTTTAGAAATATTTTATTACATCTCTTTGGTGCAGATTGGAAATTCTGTGATCAATGATCATACCGATATGCAAGGGATGTATGACTTCTTTGGAACACATGCTATAACTTCAAATGAGAACCTCCGTAAAATTCAACACTACTGTAATTTCTCAAGTGCCGGTAGTTTATATAAAGAGTGCCAAGAAGCCATGGACAAAGCAGATACAGATGTTAATGTCATTGACATTTACAACATCTATGGCCCCTTATGCTTCAACAGTAATCTCACGTCCAAGCCAAAGAAGACCTCAGTAAGTGAATGAACGTTCTTAAAAATATATATATATACTTCGTTCAGGTTTTCACTTATTTTTGGGTCAGTTATTTCACAATTCTTCAACTCCAATTTTCATGAAAAAATACCTTAAAAAAGTAGGATTTGAATGTAAAGTGACTAAAATAAACTTACTCATAATTTAAAATATTTCGGAGTTATAAGTAATTCTGGATATGTGACTTGACTTGAATGATTTTTGGTGCAGCCGATGAACTTCGATCCCTGCAGCGATTCTTATGTGTTGGCTTATCTTAATAGACCGGATGTCCAAGAAGCCATGCATGCCAATGTGACCAAACTTGCTTACGATTGGCAACCATGCGGCGGTTTTAACTGGGTTGATAGTGCCTCTACTGTTCTTCCCTTGCTAAAGGAGTTCATGGCAAGTGGACTTCGAGTATGGGTATTCAGGTTAGTAAATTCACAACCAACATAATCGTGTAGTTGTTGGTGAAATGCCCTTGCACTCGCTGATGCGGACCAAACTTTGCAAAAGTCTCCCAACTTTTCACTAAGATCAAATGGATTTTTTTTAGATCAGTTTTATTACAATGAGACACTTTTTTTTTTAGTTCAGACCATTTTGATTGAATGTATGCTTACTGATCTTT